GTTTAGAGTGGAGGGTTTAGGGTTTAGGGTTTGCGGTTTAGGGTTTAGGATTTACGGCTCTGGGGTTTCAGCTTCGGACAGCCTCTAATATCGAGGCTTGAATGCTTAGAACAGGATCTTGGGGTAGATGGCGACATAGACTGCGACATACATGATATGTGGGTGGTTGTCAAAATTATGGCCCCTTTTGGGGTACCCTAAAATACAAAGGTGCCGCATTATAATAAGGACCCAAAAAAGGGGCCATAATTTTGACAACCACCCACATGATATGTGACTTAAAATACTTAACAAAAGGAACTCGAAAGCCTCCGCAAAGGACCCCCTTCCCAGAACCGAGCCGGGGCACGCTGCCGCGGAGGACCATGCGCGTGCCCCGGTGAGGTCGGGAGCTGGAGCAAGGGCTCTCCTTCTCGAAATCTCGTTTGGAGGTCCCCGGGATTTTAGGGTCTCGTTTCTGTTTAGGGTCTCGCTTTTGTTTAGGATCTCGTTTTTGGGGCTCGATACAGGGTTTGGGGACTATGGTTTAGAGTTTAGGGTGCTCTCCATTTTGGGGGCTCTTGTGAGGTTTCGGAGCTGAGGGCGTAGGGTGAAGGGACTTTGGGGACTACTCTCCGTTTGGGGTGCTCCTGGAGCGTTTAGTTTAGGGTTTAGGTTTCGCCGTTTTGGGGGTGTTGGAGGGTTTAGGGTTTAGGGTTCTCCTTTGTGGTGGGCTCTTTTAGGGGTTTGAGGATTAGAGATTGGGGCCTGTGGTCTGTGGTGTTCTTTCATCGGTTTGGGGGTCAAGGATTACTGTGCGAGCCTTAATAATTAGAATAGGGTGTTGGGGCCCATTTTCCTATAACCATAATAAGGAACCCCAAAATAGTATAGGCAAACCCTAAACCCTAAACCCTATGGTACTCACCTTTTTGGGACGGGGCAGGGTTCTCTTTGTTGCATGTTTTCCCGGAGGGTTCAGGCCAGGGTTTTTTATGGGATTCTGTCCGGGGCCTTTAAGGGTTCAGAGTTTAGGGCCGTTTAGGGTTTAGGGTTTAGGGCCTTTAGGGTTTAAGGGTTTAGGGTTTAGGGGTTCGAAAAGGTTTTGATGGGTGCTGGGGTTTGGTTCAGTTCTGTAAGTTAGGGTGAGTGACGGGTTTAGGGTTTAGGGGCCCCAGGGGTCTATGGCTTAGGGATTTAAGGTTTAGGGTGGGCTTCTGGGGTATGGGCATGAGGCTGACAGGTGCTCATAATGTAGGAGCCTAAATAATCACAAGTACTATTTTGGGGGTTCCTTATTCTAATTATGGTATAATGAGCCCCACAACCCTATTCTAATTATTAAGGCCCTTATATTGCCTGGAAAAGGATGCATGCGCATTTAGGGCCTTGGATTTGGCACTGATGAATTGGGGGTCTATGGTTTAAGCTGCCGTGCGGCGGAGACAACATCCAGCATAGCCCCATCGGATTGACCCATGCTTCAACCAGAGACTCTCAACAAAGTCTGCACAATCGCTGAGACGTCTGGCAGCCCCTGCAGATTGACAGCAAGCCTCGTGGCTGGATCCACTACCGACCCAGACACAGCACCTCGTGCCAACGCCTCGGCTGCTGCGGATCTTCTCCAATAGCCGGAAGCCCATGCCTGCGGCAGGAATGAACGCCCGTCCACGTGGATCGGCAACTGGCCTAACAAAAAGCTGCAGGTAGAGTCAAGTCAAGTCAAGTCCTGCACCACAGTTGGATGTTCATGCTCCTGCAGTCCTGGTTTCCTTGCCAATGAGGAACCGCCGCTTGCAACTTGGCTCCCATCGAGCGTCTGGGCTAGCGAACCGTGCTCTGTTGAGATCGCAGTTGTGAGTCTCGTCTTTGTTAGACAAACCCTAAACCCTAAACCCTAAACCCTAAACCCTAAACCCTAAACCCTAAACCCTAAACCCTAAACCCCTAAACCCTAAACCCCTAAACCCTAAACCAAGGAAAGCCCTGAAACGCACCTTCAGCCTGAACATCTCATCAACCACATAGAAGCCGCAACGCTCCAAATTTCCTTGCTAAGCCTTGCCTGGACCCCAAGAGTATTATGTGGAAGAATAGCCTTTTATATGGGTTGGGCCATTGTGTTACCTACTTTTGGGGCGGTTTAGGCGTACCCAACAACACAGGTCACACACCCTAAACCCTAAACCCTAAACCCTAAACCGTCCTCGAAGTCTGTCAGATGCCGCAGGAGACGGTAGGGGAGCTGCAAAGAGCTCAGTGGTGCCTGGCATTGTCTATGCGACATAAGGGCTGAGGGCCTCAATGGGTTTAGGGTTTACGGTTTAGGGTTTAGGGTAATGTAGGGAGGTACCTTAAGAAGCTAATATAGGGTTTAGGGTTTAGGGTTTAGGGAGCTAATATAGGGTTTAGGGGTTTAGGGGTTTAGGGGTTTATGGTTTAGGGTCTGGGGGAACCCTCTGAGTCTTTCGCTAGGGTTCTGTATAGGAAAAGTCATATTTTGGGGATATAGGATTTAGGGTTTAGGGTTTAGGGCCGGGGTTTCTTCATCAGGTTACTACATTGACTGGAATCGGGCTTTGGGGTAGATGATATCAGACGCACTGTTGATGATATAAACCCTGCACTACCTTAAGGACCCTGAACTACGGGAGTGATGGCACTGTCCTTACTATGAGTAATGCCGATTTTTTTTTATCATCAACGGTATAGTACCTAAACCCTAAACCCTAAACCCTAAACCCTAAAAGTACGTCAGACTTCTGGATTTGTGCAGCTTCGTGGATTCATGCACCAGCAGGGCTGGCCTTTGGGATTTGGTTTGGGGAGGACTACCCAGTTGGGGTCCGTGTGAGTTTAGCGGCTTTCTGAAATCGTCGACTCAGGACACAGGCAAGTTATACCCGGGAGAATAACCGGCATCCTCTGAAACCTAAAACCTTGGCTCCAACTCCTAGATGCCCCCGAAAAGAGGGTCCTGATCCCTGAACCCCCTGCCGGAATACCCCTTGAACGAACCCTTACAGTAAACTTCATCACCTGAAACTCGAATCATACGAACATTGAAGAAACCGTTATCATCTGAAATACGTAACTAACCTCCTTATACTCTGAAGCCCTTAAACTCTAAACCCTCAACCCTAAACCCTAAAACCCTAAAACCCTAAACCTAAAACCCTAAAACCCTAAAATGCCTGAAGCAGCTCTGCCACGAAAAGCGCCCCACCGCCCGACGCGAGGCCGGCAAGCAGCCCAAGGAGATCGGGGAGGTGCCTGGGCTCTCAGGTTTAGGGTTTAGGGTTTAGGGGTTTAAGGGTTTAGGGTGCAGGGGTTTAGGGTTTAGAGGCTTCGGGTTTAGGGGTTTAGGGGTTTGGGGTTTAGGGGCTTAGGGTTTATCCCATAGAGTTTGGGGCTTTCTGGGTTGCTCATGGGTTTCAGCAGGTGTTTAGTAGGGTTTTACGCGCTTACTAGGGTTTTATGTGTTTTTCTGTGGGGCCTCAGGGACTTGCTGGTAGCGTTTCATATCGTGGCCTTGATAGGTAAAATAATGCGGCTTTGGGGCTTCGTGATCCCATCCGGTTGCGTGTTGGTGCTTTGGTGGAGGCCAGGGTTGCCATGTTAATTGCTAGCATAAGGGGCTTCGAGTTTCGGGTTTCGGGCTTAGGGTTTAAGGCTCAGGGTTCAGGGTTTAGGGCTTAGAGTTTCGGGTTTCGGGTTTTTTTTTTAAATGCAATGGCTCTTTCTCCGCAGGTCTCAGAGCCTGCTCTGTAGCAGAGCTTGCACCGTCTGAAAAAGCACTAACTCCTAGGCCTCTCAGTTTTCTGTGTCCGTTAGGCGGAGTCTCACGTCGTTGCTCGACAGACTGTTGTTTTCACCGTCAGAACACTCATCAGACTCACCATCATCTGCACAATCAGCAACCGCACCAACCACCTCAGCCATCTCAGCAGCCGCCACCATGCCCGACGAACAAGAAGTCGAGGGAACCCAAGAGGACCCACGTGCATGTTCAGCCTCCGGCAGGATCCCCTCTGCACCATCAAGGATCAACGGGTAGAGCTGGGGAGGTGGACGTTGCTGACGGAAGCGGCGTCTGCTAGCCACCCCAAATTGTACTCGAGCACGATAAGGTTGTTCCGGAGGAGGGATGCCTTGTGGGTGGTTCGGGACTGGTGCACTCATATTCGCCTGAACGAGGTACAGCTCAGTCTCACTTGCTTCGTCATCTGTGTTGGGCTCATAGGGTCCTCCACGAAGTTCACGGGATGCAATGAGTCGGCTAACATGAAGCTGCCACGCCCTGCGCCTCATGCCTGCAATACGCGGCAACGTATAGCCGGGTAGGGATCGCTCCACCCCTGCCGCATCTGGGAAGCCCGGGTCAAGGAGAACGGCCGGCGAGACAGCGACTGTGTTGACAGGGGATGAGGAAAGTCCACTACCAAAGCAGGCCTCATGGGCGACGGATTGCCAGATGTTCGCCTCCATAGTTGCCGCGTTGTACGATGTGGCCTCTCGCGGAATAGTGACGTAGGACAGGGCTTCCTCAAGAGCCACCCCCAATAGGCGATCACAGTGACGGAGGGCTCTTTGTCGATCCAGCAGTCGTCGCATTGTATCATGTACATCCGCGAGAGTTCCTTGCACAAGTTCCCGATCCACAGCATCTCTGACCATGTCCTCGGGGTTGTTGTTGCCAGAAGGTGTAGTGGTGGACGATGTCGTGGTAGAGCTGGTGCAGCACGTACACGTAGGAGACAGGCTCGACGTCGAACACAAGGTGCAGGTAGGCCCCGATGTGGAACCATTACCAAGCGAGTACTCCCACGTCACCACCCCCAAGAGGTCAACAGACAACAAGTCACCCCCTGATGTAGTAGTTGTGGAGGATCCCATCAGAGACAAAGCACCCACTTGAAGCAGCCACAATGTATAAGCATCAAGATAGGTCTCTTCCACATCCAGCTGGAAACTCCAGGTTGAAGTCGTAGAGGTGGACGTCATCACACATTCTGTCCCAGGCGGGGGTGAGGAAGACGCAGGGGCTCGGTTACTGGACGAAGACGCGGGTTCACACCATAACCCTTGCTCCCGGTTCAGGTCGGTCTGTGCATGATAGGCTTCAGCCAAATGTGGACCATAAACAGGTAGCGGTGGCGGAGGACCAAACGGCCCACCTGTGGGTGATCGTGGAGAGACCGACACAATGTCACCATCCGAGTTATAGGCAATGTCGCTTCGTGGATGTACAGGAGAGGAGGTGGCACTGCTTCTGACCCGGCTGCGACTGCGAGACCGACTCACTGAACGAGGGGCATCAGAAGCCATCACCCCGGAGGCCATGCCGTCATTGTCAGCTGTTGTAGGAAGCGTGGAGGACGAAGCCGGCGTTGCATCAGGGGGAACAGCAGGAAGCTCACTGGGCTGAAGACGAACTTCAATGTTATGCATCAAGGCATCCCGGAACATGGTGCCATATTGTCGAACCCATGAGAACCAGCGCCAGCGACCCATTTCCTCCGCAGGCACCCGCTGTACGGGTAGGAAACCACGTGGAACCAGGCGTCGAGCCAAGACCTCGAGGATGCCTTCAAGCGCTTCCACGGCCTCTTCACCTCGTTGAAGGAGGCGACCAATGGCCCATCTAGATTCAGGGCCCATGCCACGTGTCTCATAGTCGTCGAGGGAGTGCAGCAGGTGGTCGAGGCGATCTATAACCCCCTCCGGAACACCCTGTTCCTGCAGGCTGGCCCTCTCAGCACCCGTGAGTTGCATCAGGGACGTGGCATCGTCACAGACAGCAGGTCCAACCACAGGGAAGAGGCCTTCGTTTGGGAGAAACACGACAGTGGACGAGGAGGTCGTCCATGGCAGCTCAATGACTTTCCGTCATGGTGGAAGTCGTGGATGTCCATGTTTGCCACCCTGATATTGTGCAGGGCCACGTCGAAGTTGTACTCGGTGAAGTCCACGTCCATTGCCACGTCGAAGTTGTACTTGGCGAAGTCCACGTCCACTGCGATGACGACCAGGTCCAGTTGTTCCAAGCCTCTCCCCAGGTGTCTTCTGCAGAGGGCCTCCACCACCAACCATTGGAGGTCTGTGTCCAGTCGGTGTCCGAGCCTGAACTGGTATTCCAAGTGGATGCCGTCCATGTCTGAGGCTGCCCTTGCCATTCGACAGGCGTAGTCCAGGAAGATGCCGGCTCTGACAGGCTTGCGCAGGTCTCCGCCGGCGTAGCAAACTCTGAAGTCACGCCAGTGGGCTCCCCATCAGTCCATGTAGCCCCGTCAGAAGGCGAAACACTCTTCGTCCCAGTGGAAGGCGAGATCACCTGCGACGAAGACGAGGTCCCCTGTGACGAGGACGACATCCGCTGCTCTTTGTCAGAGATGTACTTCTGAAGCCAAGCGGGTTTCCATTTTCCTTCGAAGTATTCTCGCGCTCTTTGTTGTTTGCGAGCCATTCTCTGTGGTCCGCAGCCACCAGCGTGCTGTTTCTGTTCAGCTGGTGTGCGAGCACGATTTTGCCATTCCCCCCGTTGCCAGAAACCCACACCAGAGGAGGAGGAAGAGGCACCAGCCGACGAGCCCGTTGCATCATCCGAGGTGGTGTCGGCCCCTGTTGCCGTGGATTCACTTTCATGTAGTGTGCCGGAATCGCAGGCTTTGGAATTCACCCCACAGAAAGAAGTGGCTTCCTGATGAGGGTCACCCTCAGGCGCAGCATCCCCAGCAGAAGCCACCGGGGCCATGGTGCTCGCGCAGGCAGTTTGCTGGGGAGTTGAAGGGCAGCTTTGCTCGGCTGCAAGTCGTTCTCTCAAACGCACACGAACCGAACCGTCAGCGTGATGCCACCTGTCCACTCCTTGCCGAACACGTCCTCCTCGCTGGGTAATTCCTTGCTCCGCGGACGAGTTGCTTGACGAAGAGGAGGCACCCTCCACTTCGCTGTCTGCCGCAAAGACACCTCCATGCCCTCCACATTGATACTTCCGCATACCGATGGGACGTAGTAGAGAACGAGGATCACGATGTCCTGGGGGAACTTCTTCAGCATGTGCAGGAGGAGCACGACAGCCAGAGCTTGTAGAATATTCACCCCAGATGTAGGAAGAGAGGCAGGAGAGCAGGGGAAGGGCAGAGGCAGGTCCTCAGGAATGGGCGCCAAACCACGTAGTTCGTCTTGTTGCGGAGGAGGCAGATGATCTGGCGGATGGGTCACATCGTTGTAGAGCTCCGTCTGCATTGCCAACGTGATATTCTCATCCCATCTGGTGGCCATATAGAGCATGTGTTCCGGCGAGCGCGGAACGAGCGGAGATGTCGAGCACGTACTTGTCGGGGGCCTCGCCGAGGAGGAGGACGATGCACTCTCACTGTTGGAATCCCATGGCGGTGGAAGCCACGTCCCGTTCACCGGAGCCGTGAGTTGACGTTGTGGTCCACATGGAGTCTGTGGTTCGTTGGAAGGAGGTTGCACCGCAGCTGCAGCCAGGGGCAGGGTCGTCTCATCAGCTTCATCAAACCAGGGATCGTAGGTGCTGTGCATCTGTGTCCCGGTAGAAGCACCCTGAGAAGTAGCGAGTGGCGCCGAAGCAATAGTCTGGGTGATCTCCACATCATCACCCCACGCCGCGGCCCTGTATGCAGCCGTAGTTTCCTCCGACCATGGAAGTGTGCGAGGGTCTTGACGTGAGGTGGCCGAAGCTGTCGAGGGCAAGGCCAAGACCAAGATCACGAAGGCGAGCGCCATGGCAGGAAGTGATAAAGAGGTTACAAAGTTCACCTCGAGCCTGAAGACGGCCAGTGCATCAACAAAGTAGTAGTTCAAACATCGGGCGAGTAAATGTAAATCATCACGCTGCAAGCACTGAGACAGTGCAACCTGAAAGCGGAGGGCATGTGGTCGGGGCCGGGTGGAAGTTAAGCACGCGAAGGTCACAGTCAGACACGAGGACAGACATCAATCAACCATGGCACAGCATGAACCATGACTTCACCCCGTCATCCCCGACAAGACGATCACCATCGCAATGCTAGTTGGCGTCCGGAGGTCCATCGAATGTCCCAATGAGCAATGTAGTCACCACGCAAAGCTGCCCAATTTTGACGGTTCTGCGCACTGACATGCCAAAGGTTGCCAACAGCTTCTGCAATTTGCTGCATAGAACCTCTGCGGGTGTCTGGCCCCAGTGGAAGGCAACAGACTTTGCTGTGACCTCCACCAATAAGTGGAACGCCAGTTGAGGGTGCGCATGTTGAGCCCGGCCT